TTCCTTATTGATATAGGATGCTAATTTAGGGCTGCGGTAACTCAAATACTTTAGGTTGGGGAATGTGGCTAACACTCTTTGTGGATGCTGTTTGGGGAAGGGAGAGAGGAAGGCAGGCAGGCACGCAGGCAGGAAGGGAAGAAGAGCTCAGAAACCTTGTTGACTTTGCTTGTGCAAGTGAAATTACTCCAGAGAACCTGAACAGAGATATAGTGTGGTCCTTATTCTGCATATTTATAGGCAGAGTGACAGCCTCATCCTTCATGGTGTTACTTTTCTGTTTTCCACTGGATAGGTATTTAGCCTTGGAATGCTACTGATAGAATGTATGTACAGATGCCATTTAAAAAATGAGCTTCAAAAATCCTCACTGCATGTGCCTGTGCATGAAAACTGTGTCACATCTCATGTCTGGCTTTGTTGCTGAAGGGTGATCTGAAAGTAGCAGGGTTGAGTGTCCTATTCTCTGAAGCTTCCTATTTACCTCTGATGGGAGACTGGTTAGTTTGACACTCTAGTATGGGTCAGTAACTGTCAGTACTGGCTATTATCCATGTGTTTGTAGCGGAGACAACATTAATAGAAAAAAGCACTTTGTGGTCTTCTAATTAATCTCACAGGAGAACAAAAACTCATTTAAGTTAGAAGTTTAGCTGTTGGCAGCATCGGGAAGAGCTGGTTTCACTTCACTAAGCTGAATTAAAACTCCACATTAATGGAATGAAAGCATGTTGCCTTCTTAAACTCTTACATCCATCAAAGCAAAAACTTTGAAGCTTTATAAACAACTGCACTGCTATCTTCAATCCTTGACATAAGAAACAACATGCTGAGAATACATCATAAACTCAGTGTTAAGAGTTCCCTTCACTGTTCTCCAGTGGAACTTTCTCAATATTGTGTTTATCAATCTGTTTTCTTTTAGCATTGTGGATAACAAAGAATAACTCGGAGCTCTAGTTTGGGGGGGTGGTGGTTGGTTTGTTTGGGGTTTTTTCTGCACAGAACGTATTGATAGACAAATGGAGTTTGTATACTTGTGTGTGACAGTTTCAGAATTGGGACGTCAAAAATGCTGCTCCAAAACCACTGTCCTAGGTCTTTATCCAGCCTGTGCCACTAGCTGCATCACTGCTTCTTTATGAGAAGATGCAAGTCAGTTGATTTAGGAAGCAAATAATGACATTTGTGCTGTCAGTTTTGACTTGCCAAAACAAAGATATATGAAAACAAAAGGTTTCCTAAATCAGGGCCATAGGAAGTAGAGGACAACTGTTCTTTGTCTGATAGGAGGTGGGTTGGGAGAGGAAAGCTGATGGCTTTTCTAGTGCTCTGTGTGTATAGACAATATGTATTGGCTTTATATGAACAAAAGAGACAAAAATTTGAGACTGTAACAATCTTCTTTCTTCCACCCTCAATACTATAGGCAGGCTTTGGGTTGAACTCTGATTTGACTGTCATGCAGTCTGATCCCTTAATGGTGGTTTGTACTTACTTTTAGTTGTCAATTTGCATTATGAATGCTTAAGACACAATAAATATTTCCCTAAAGTGATTGTTTCATCTTGAATAGGGATTTTACTGGGCTATTGTGTAATGGTGAACGTGTCATTTGTGAAGGAAAGGCCGTAGTTCATGTGGTCCCTATAGGGTAAGAAGGGTTTATGATGCTGCCTCCAGTTTCAGCATCACCCACACAGCAGAAATGCCTTCAGAGCACCCTTAGGCTAGAACAGAATTAAAACTCAGGAGACTGGCTACTGACCTTCTTATTACTGTAATAATTACTGATGGTATTATTTTAATAAGAAACATTAAAAAAAATACATTGACACCAGCCTGCTCTGTTTTTAGTAGTTAGGAAAGTCATGAAGTGGCAGACCTTGCCTAAGAAAACGGTTTAACCCCCCCTCTAATTTAAACCTGTTAAAAAAGAGAGGTTGGATTCTTTGCTCCCTGTTTTACCCTTATTATTAATTTATAATCTCATTTTTGTTCCTTCATTCATATGAATTGTCTTACAAGAATAGGATATTCCTGTTGTCTCAATGGACTAAAATTAAATGGAAGTAAGTTAAAACTGGTATTATACAGAATTTGAGATTCATTTCTTCATGGAGAGCCCATCTTGTGTGGCTGTAGTACTGAATAGTATATTGAAATATCTTTACTTTGTATTATTAAAACGATGGAGATGTTCATTCTGTATCATTTCAGAGAAAGGGTAGCATTTTTATAAGCCTAAATGTCAAACTTTGAATACTTAGATCCGTGAATGTAAAAATATGCATAGCTCACAGGGATGTAAGTACCTATGCTTAGGCATTCATCATAGAAAACGTTGGTGGCAGTAACTCAGAAGTTCTCTTTCGTGCTACAAAAGGCATGACATTTGCACAGCTGTATTAAGCATTTGATGGAAACAACTTCTTTCTGCTGGTTTCGTTGCTTTAACAGAAGCCACCAGGAGCTTTATCAGTGAGGAATGATATCAGACTGTTATTTCTGTCTCCAACTGGATAGCCACTTGTGTCAAGCAGTGATTAAACTGCAGATTTTGATTTTTAGGTGTCATTTTATTCATGACTATACCTTAGAGGGCATCAGGTTGTACTGAGCAAATTTGATTTTTATAATTATCTACAGAAAATGAGTTTTCATACCACCAGTTATGAATTATTTTCATGAAAAAAGCCAAAAGCTCATTTGAACTTTATGTCACAAATAGCTAGCATTGGAAAAGGGTTTCTAATGAGTGGAATATTGCCAATAGGAGTGAGTTGAAAGGAGTGAGGTATAAGGTTCCTTGCACAGCTTTGCGTAATGAGGTAGTCATACCAGTGAGGGATACTGATGACAACTAGTGCTTGAGTGGTTTGGTAATTGCAGGAGAATACTGAATTGAAATCATTGCTTTAATTCATACTTATCATGGGATTACATTACTGAATAGATCGTCTTATATAATAGAAAATAACATTGCCATCCCAGTCCTTTTTTTAACACTCTATCATTGAAATGTGTTTTGTTTTTCCAAGAATCTGCTCTTCCTTCTGAATATTCTTTTGTCACCCTGTCTGGATAATCCTTTGGTTAATTTGCTGCTTCTTGCCCCAGCCATAACAATACTGCGTGAGGTTATCTACCAAGCAGATGTGGTGGCACAGACAATTTCTCAAGTGGCTGAGGAGGGTGATTAGTGAGTTCTGGGTACCTTGCGCTTCTGCTGAGACGTTACAGGATGATTTGCTGAAAGGGGTTGATATCCTCTCTTGGCAATGCAGGGCTTTGGAGTTGTTTTAGGCTCGACACCCACAATCAAGGAACATGGTGCTCCTAATCACTTCTGGAAATACTGTTTGACCTCATTTCAGTTTCATGTTTCAACAGTGATTTTCCTTAGGAAGTTCATAAATAACATATTTGCCAACTTTTCTAAAGAGGAATCATATGTTTTAAACAATAATAACTTGCATTTATAAAAAGAAATCATTTTTTTTAAACATAGCTGAATAGTGAAATCCAGAAATAAATTTATGAGTGCAGCCAATACCAGCTTCAGATCTAGGTTGGTAGGTGTTCAGAAAGGTAATTTGTCATGTATTAAAGAAAAGTGTGTGATGTCAAACAGAGATCTTTTATAAAGACTAGGAGTTTTTGCTAATTCTGTAAAGGTCATTATGAACAGTATGGTGACAAAATTCTTTGTATTTATGCATCCACTATAGAAAATATTTAGCAACAGAGGGATTATAGCCTTCAGGTTTTGCACAGAGTATCAATCCTCAAAGCCATCAGTTGAATGCACCAGTAAAATGCAGCATTGCTGTGGGACTGAGAATCACACACTTTAAGTGGTAAAATACATGTAAAATAGATGTGTTGCTCACTGACATCCAATGTTTTAGCTTGAGGTGTGCTTCTTCTGAACGAACAGCATGAGTTTTATGTGGAGCTTGAAAGAAAGACTAAATGCACTGTTGGTAGAGTCACAGCTATAAAACCTGACCCAAAGATTTCATTTTAATGTGCATTTTGCATTATTAATACTGGGCCTCACTATGTGATGTAGCCATTTAAACTAATCAGAACATACACTCAGATCTTTCTGCGTTTCAGGTTTGCCTTGGATAAGGAATGCTACTTATTATCGCAGAACTGCCTTTGGTGCTGTGTTGTTATCCTTTTACATTTACATGAATAGTAGTGGAACAATATTATTATATAATAGTGCAATACTGAAGTTAACATATACTGTGTAATTTATTAGATTTAAGTAACATCATAATTATCTTTGAGGTTACTACTCATGACAACATGACATATGAAAAGCCATTAGAACTCAGGATTTTTAATCAAAAAGATTTTTCTTCAAGAGAGTCTGCATTTTGCTTAGAAAATACCATGTTTATTCCTAAATGTGTGTTAGATTGATAAAATTTCCTGTGGAAAAACTCAAGAAACTTAAAATCTGATAAAAAAAGTGAATGTTGGTTAAAATTTGTAAAATGCAAAGTTACACTATGGTGCAATTATAAGCAGTGCATGTTCTCTTTTACTGAGCGTTCTGCCTGAGAAACACTGAGAATTATATTGATAACATTGCCATTTACTGTTTACCTTCTGCTCTGGAATTCACTTTGTGGTTTATGGTTAGAATATTTAGCAGAACAATTAGCATTTAAGTTATTTTAAGTCACTGAACTGGGTGTGTATATGTATTTTCTAAAAAGAATGAGAAAGATAAGGGGGAGTTACTCTCTTTTTGTCCTCTATTAATGAGGAATGAAACGTGATTTTAAACAAGAGAGTTTGTAGGGTTGAACCCTTTTTTGAAGTGAGGGACATGACTGAACTCAAAATGCTTTAGAGATGTGTGAACCAATCTGATTGTTATTTCTAATTTGGCATTAGCTAAACTGCTAGAGACAGTAAGAACAAGAGAAACTATGATTTCTTTAACAAATGCTTTTCTTTATTCTTCCTTGGTCATACAGTCATTCCCAGCACAGCACTGCAACGCGTCCACCCACAGTGAGCTTGCAGCGGACCATTTCTGTGGAAGGGTAAGATGATTCTCTGTTGAAGCTGCCTGTAGAGCTCTCAGATACCCCTAAGCCAGACACTGAACTACCCATGTACACATAGCTGTTAACTAGATGTGGTTTAAGTCTGTGAGATGAAGAAATAACTACTTTCAAATTAATGCTGATCCTTTCTAGATACTTACACTGGAAGGTTTGTTTTTCATGGAGATAAGAGTATCTGTCATGGAGATACATTAAATTCAATGTCTTCAATTCATCTCACTTGGCTAATATCAATATTTACATGTGTTAGCTGTAGAATGTTTTCCACTAATCATGGAAATACACAGTGAAGTCTTACTCTGTTTTCTTAATGTATGCATGAGTTCTTTTTGACAAAAGAGTGTCTGGAACTGAGAATGAAGTACTGGTAGAATGTGTTAATTGTCAAAGCACAGCTCTGAGTACTTAGCTGACTCCATTTTAACAAAAACAGTTGGGCAAAATATGAATCATTCTCAACCCCAGTTAATATTCTTGCATCTTTATGATATTAGAAAAGCTGATATTTAACACTGAAGCACAGATTTTAATTGCACCGACTGGTGTAGTTTACAACAAATGTTAGATTACTTTCTCCCCGCCCATGGAAATGTGGTACTGTTGGAAATATTTTGTAGACATGGGTAATAACTTGTCATTGCCTGTTGTCAGGTCCTGTTTCAAAGCTTTTCTTTCTTGTGATAAAAGTGAGAATCCAAAGCTTCCACAGCGGAAAGATGTCATCTTGTATGCTGGTTTCTGTTACAACCTTACTGTGGTGCAGTCAGAAGAAAAAGAGTTAGATATGTGAAATACTCCACTCCTAAATGAAGCCTGAATTGATTTTCTCACAAGTCTCAATTTTTTTTTCTTTCTTATCTAGATCTATGATTTTAAACTTTTGTTTAAAATATGTAGGACATCTATAGCGATTATTCATTGAGAATAAGATTGAATAATGAAACAGCTACAGGAAAGGTGCACATGGCTTAAGGGCTCCCATCTGGAAGGTGATCTATAAATGAGGCCCTAATCATCCAACCTCAAAACAATGCTAATTTCAAGTTAGATCAGTTTGCTCCACGTCTTGTCTAGTGTGAAGACTGGACATGTTCTGAGCAACGTTTCTCAGTGCTTAAACACTCTCATTTTGGATCTCTTTCTCTCTCTTTCTGCGTAACAGAGAGGATCATAACAAATTGCCTTGTCTTTTCCTCAGATCAACTCTTGAATAAATTGATGTTTGAAATAAAACTGAGCTTCAAGAACAAGTTTATCAATTAAAATGGTAATTGGATTTTAAAAAAAAAGGGAAAGAAAAACCTGCTAAATTGGGATTTAAGGAAAGAAATCCTATTACGCTGTCTCTGATTTGGTCTACTGGACTCCATAATTCAGGAGGTGTCCTGTAGGTTGAGACTTCTGTTGAAATTTGGAAATCAGTCTGTCTGTGTGAATTTTTAGATACATTGTAGAATCTGTACTGGCCACGCAGTCAACTTCATATATTGTGTGTGAATCATTAGAGCAGAGGGAATTTGCAATTGATATTACAGGTCTCCCGCTGTTCAGGAGGTAGAAGAATATCTGGCTTGTAATTATTACTAATCAACTTACACTGAGTCATATTTCATTTCACATAGGAAAGTGGGACTGTTAGCCTACTACACCACTGAGCAAAAATAAGTAATCAGCTCAGCCCTAAATATTTCATTACGTTAAAGCTCAATTTATTCTAATGCTTTCGTGAAGTCCATGCTGCTAAGTGTGTTTATAGCTAACGCAATTTGAGGTCAAAACAAAGTTATTTTTTCTCTTTTAGGAACCGAGTTTCCATCAGAGTCTTGTATTTAGGTGACTCATTTTATTGCTTTCGAGATGCACTTTGTAAAAAGCTGCTTTATGTGCAAGGCATCCCTAGTATGTGCTCAGATCCGTGGCCTCCATGCTGGCTCAGTGTGACTGACTGTGTAGTCACTGAAGTAATATAATTATTGGGTCCTCTGAAGGAGAAATGAATTATGGGGGGGGTTAAAGAAATGCAGAGGGAACTGCATTTGCTGGCATTGATTCCTTTCCACTCTGTTGAATATGTGATAATTGAGCTGGCTAGAATAGATCCTTAAAAAACTTTAATAGTTTTTTTCAGCTGGGTAATGGATTTATACATAAAACCAGTATTTTTTTTAGGGGGGGGATTTTGTGGACTTCATGGGCAGCAAAAAAAGAAGAGTAGCAAGGTGAAAAAATCCAAAGGTCTTTAAAGATTAAATTTCCTTTATATTCAAGCCATATATTCTTCACAGTGTAATGACTGTACATGAGGTGGCCAGATTTATTGTGTGTATAAAAGCATGAATTCACAGGTTTTTGATGTTCTCGTTAGTGTGATCTAATCAGTCACTCCCCCAATGGTTTGTTTGCATGGTTTAACAACAAGAAAACTAACATTTGACTTTGAGAATATTGTTGGTTTGAGTTCTTTGAAACGGTTTTAACGTACCATTTTCAGTGGTTTCGATGGTTTTAACGAACAATTTTAACTCTTGAGTATCCAAAAGAGAAGAATTACTGGATGAAAACTAAACCCTGTTACTTGGATATCCTACTGTACTAAGCTATAATGTTAGTGGTGTGTGATAGCTATTGTCTCTGCAGTTGACATTCAGACTAAATTGTATTTTATATGCTACCAGTCACCTCTTTTTCTGAGCTGCTTAGAAGCTGGGATTCCAACTTATTTGATCAAGAGTGTTTTGATGAAAATTTTAAATGAATTTATCAACATGACCGAGTATCTCAAATATATATAAATATTGACACGTAAATAAACAGCATTTGAACCATGACTAAGGGTAAGAATTTTTATTCTGAACATGACAGATACTGCAGACCGCTTTGTGTTTCAAAAGTGCTTGCTACTAACTGACTGTGTATTGGTAGTTTGAAGCATGGCTTAGAGGTACTGCTAGTTTTAGGTATTCTCCTAGCCTTTGAATACTTCCTGTCTCCGGACAGTGCAGTGCAGTTGCCTGTCACCGTGTCCATCTCATCTAGCTTTGTTTACAAACTGGAAAACTGGAGCATTCATGGTAAATAGAGCCACTGAATGCTGTAAGTCACAGTTCATAGAAAAGTGGTTTCAATATGGAACCAATAGTTTTTAAAAGCAGGCAGCAAAGCAAGCTTCCTGGTATGGAGTTGCTATAACAGGTGGAACACAGATGCAGTTTCCAGGATTTAATTTGATTATTAGCATGTGAATAATGCACCTCCTGGATCAGGGCAGTGAGACAAGTACTTACGTGAGACTATAAATGAATGAGCCTACTGGAGTAATCACGTCCCTTTCAAAGGTAAGAGCATATTAGCTGTCCTACATTGTCGCTTTAGAAATCAAGGAGATTTTACAATTCTAGGAGACATACTCCTGTGCCTTTAAAGTAAATGTCAGGTGTCACGGTAAAAACCCAGACCTGTTTTCAAGTAAAAGATTAGTCCTGTACAATGGCCAATTCCATCTTGCCAGCTGTAGCCAGGAAACATTGCCTGGTGTGCAGGCTTTAATTTCTCTACACAAGTCAAAATGAAAAACTGTTAAAGTCCACAGGGGTTCCCACAAAACAAATAAAGTTGCACATGTATAAGCCAGTGCGCTCATGCATGCATCAGTCAGGTTGAAGTCTGGGTCCCAGTAGGTTCCCTTGTATTAAACATACTTCAAAGTTTGTGGCAAGTTAGACATGCTGTTTGCAGAATAAATGCATTAAAAATGCAGTCAGTATTAAAGTTGGGATAAAGTATTGCTACTACAGTTAATGTCAGCATTCAATCAACAAGAAATGCCAAGGAAATTACAGTGAAATAAACAGATAAAATACTTGTTTAAAACAGAATGGGTAACCATAGTAAGCAAAATTATATTTTACTATCTGATATGATAAATGAACATTTCATTAAAGGCTGAGTGCTTAGTTTTTAGTATAGCAGCATTTAGTAAAATGTCACTAATCAATTGGAGGTAATGAAAATGAACCCTCTGCACATAACTAAAACGTTGTCTCAGTTTAAGAAGGCGGTTACCCCTCTGCACTGTGATGCTCAATGAGACTGCAGTGGGTAACTGGAAGGTTTCCCTGTTTGTGTTAGTTTCAATCATAATTGAAATCAGGCTGATACTAATTAAAGTCACAAATATGGGATCTGATCTTACTGGGTCTAGTGCAACACTGATGGGTAACACTGATGTGTTCAGCTTCTCCTAGGCTCTTAGGAGGTGAAGTACTGAAGACTGGAGCAAGGAGGGTTTGCCTTCTCCCCACCACTGCCAGGTTGTGGTGGTTTGGAAACCTCAGAGCAAAGGGAGATCAGAGGGAGGGCTGGGGAGGAAGACAAGGGGTAGTGCTGTTTCACATCATGGTGGACAGATTTTGCCAAGCCTAAGAGGGGAATAACAAGGAGAAAAGTAAAAGCCAAGATGTGACAGAGCTGATACTGCAATAAAACAGCAGATGAGAGCACTGCAGATAATAGGTTTTTCCTTAAATTCTTGTGAAGCTGAGTAGTAGATGATATTAAACTTTAAGTAAGCTGAGTAAATTTGGTTTTGCCTGAACTTCAGTGTCTTTTTAAAAGGTGTGTGTGCATGTTCCAGGCCTTAAGCTACTTAAGATTTCAAATTCTCTCTGATGTGATTAATCAGCTTTTAAAACATCATACACACTGGCACATTCTCTGTCCATCCTAGCTTTCGGTGTTAAATGCTGTGAAGAAAAATGCTCACTCTCTTTGAATTACCTTTTTAGGTCCTTCCAGTATGAATGCCCTTTGGCTGTCTGAAATAAAATGCAGTTATCAGAATTTTTTCAAGCACGAGCAGAAAACTGCAAGTATTGTTTTGAAAAAGAAATGGCTTGATTAGCCAACTGACCTTAAGCAGGCATAGCTCAGTGCTCACACAGTGAACTGTCAGAAGCCAAACACTGTACTGCCTAAGA